TTTATTTATTTATTTATTTATTTATTTATTTATTTATTTAATTAAAATAAACCCGGAAAGACAGTCCCTGGTGAGGAGACAAATCCATCTCTCGCATACATTTCGTCTAGGTCTGCAAGTGTAAGAAAGCCTAGAGAAGTATATAGTTTATTATGTTTATATAAATGTTTATAAACCGAGAAATTAATATTATTTATATTTTTATTTATATTTATATATTTAATATTATAATTATAGTTACTTTGTTCTGTATCTATATCTTCATATTCTTCTCTGTCTCCTTCTGTCTCCTCTGTGTTTTTTATTATATTTATACTATCGGGGCGCCGAGATACTAAATAAGAGAGTAATAGTTTTATTTCTTGTCTCCTTAGAGAAAGAATACGAATAGATTGAGAAAATAATAAATAAATAAAAAATAAAAATAAATGAAGACAAAAAACACCAAAAGATAGCCAACTGAGGTGTATAGACACCACCCATATACGCAGTATAAACCCTAATAATAAATCTAAATATAAACACTCTAATAAACCACCACAAACCCTAAACCCTCGTACTGTATCTTCACCTATTAGTAAACAATTAAAACTAAGAGGAGACAAACCCTTCCTACACAAAGAAAATAGAATTACGTTCGATAGAGAGACACAGCCAGCCCCCCTGTCTCCGCAGCTAGCGCATGCACTGTCTATACACACACACACACACACAAAATATATATTTATTTATTTATTTATTTATGTTTAGGTGTGTTTGTATGTATTTATTTATTAGGGTTTTATATTTACGGGTTTAGGGTTTAGGGTTTAGAGTTTGTTGTTAGGGTGAGGTGTTCGTGTTTAGGGTTTTGTATTTCGTAGTAGGGTTTAGGGTTTAGGGTTTAGGGTTTAGTATTGAGTTTGAGGGTTTAGGGTTTAGGGTTTAGTATTTCGCATTAGGGTTTAGGGTTTAGTATTGAGTTTGAGGGTTTAGGGTTTAGGTTTTAGTTTGAGGGTTCAGGATTTAGTATTTCGCATTAGGGTTTAGGGTTTAGTATTGAGGGTTTAGGGTTTAGGGTTTATTATTGAGGGTTTAGGGTTTACGGTTAATTTTTTGTGTTTAGTATTTGGCATTAGGGTTTAGGGTTTGGGGGTTCGTATTAATTTGAGGGTTTAGGGTTTAGGGTTTAGGGTTTGGGGTTTCGTATTGACAGTGAGGGTTTAGGGTTTAGGGTTTAGGGTTTAGGGTTTAGGGTTTGTGATACTGAGGACAGATTTGTCTCTGCGTAGAGTATAAAACTTTTTTCCGCATAGAGAAAGGAGACAGACGAGAGAAAGCGAAAATATATTTATTAGTGGTTTTATAATAAAGGAGACACCAAGCAGCAACCCCACCGCATATTTAGCTTTAAACACACTTGTATTATCTTCATCTGCTGCTGCTGCTGCTGCTGCTGTTGCTGTTGCTGCTGCTGCTGCTGCTGCTGCTGCTGATTGCGCTGCAACAGATGCAACAGGTCCTCCTGCTGCAGCTGTTGCAGCTGCTGCTGCTGCTGCTGTTGCTGCTGCTTCCTCTGCTGCACTAGCTGCTGCTTCTGCTGCTGCTGCTGCAGCAGCAGCAGCACCACCAGATAAATAAAAATAACCTAGGTCTCTATACAGCAGCAAACGAGACAGCTGACGAGCAGCAAAACAAAAAGAAGAAAAGAGACAATCCAGAAAAGGAGCATCACATATAAAACTAAAAAAACAAAAAAAAACGGAGACGCCCCACAACAGCCCGAGAGCTTTGTCTCTGTCTCCTAGTTCTTGCCATGGTGTAACAGGAAAAAAATCCTTATGCTGCTGCTGCTGCTGCTGCTGCTGCTGCTGCTGCTGCTGCTGGATAGAGACAAAAGCAAAAGAACAGAACCCCAGCAGCACGAGCAGCAGATGTAATATATCCTGCAGCAACGAAGCAGCAGCAAGCCGCAGCTGCTGGCTGTACGTGAGAAAGGAGACAGAATCGAGAGCAGCAGACAGTCTGTCTCTGCTGCTGCTGCTGCTGCTGCTGCTGCTCCATAGCAGCAGCAGCAAACGATATAGGATGCTGCAGCAGCCAGGACCCTTCACAGGGAGGTGCCTATACACCCGAATATCTCTTATAAAATGTCTTTGTCTCCTCGACAGTGCTGCAGCGCGTCTGCCCCCTGCTGCTGCTGCTGCTGCTGCTGCTGCTGCTGCTGCTGCTGCTGCGGAGGTAGAAGGAAAGTAATTCATATCTCCTGCTGCTGCTGCTGCTGCTGCTGCTGCTGCTGCTGCATCGTCATCTATACTATCAAAAGAAAAGCTAGATCTATACACCCCGGTGGTTGTGCTGCTGCTCGGCAGCAGCAGCGAGTCTCCTAGTTCTCTCCCTTCATACACAGAAACACTCTCTCTATCCCTCTCTGCTGCTGCTGCTGCTGCTGCTGCTGCTGCTGCTGCTGCTGCTGTGGGAGAAGCAGCAGCAGAAGCAGGTGTTCCCCCCCCTCCTGCTGCTGCTGCTGCAGCAGCAGCAGCAGCAGCAGGGGGACGAGCACGCCGCAGGCTGCCCCGCTGCCGCAGCCGCTGTATGTTTTCTAAGACACCTCTCCTGACAGCAGCAGCTGCTGCTGCTGCACTGTATTGCTGCTGCTGCTGCTGCTGCTGCTGCTGCTGCTGCTGTGAGTGTTGTTTATGGTGGTGATAGTACTGTGCGTGTGTGGTTTGTTGTCTTCCTTCATTAATATTTTGCATGTGCTCGTGCTGCTGCTGCTGCTGCTGCTGCTGCTGCTGCTGCTGTTCCTCCTGCTGCTGCTGGTGCTGGAGTAGGAGTTGCTGCTGCTGCTGCTGCTGCTGCTGCTGCTGCTGCTGCTGGCGTAGAAGAATAAGAGCATCAGTATGTGGTATTTGATATATAAATTTTTGGTTTCCTTTAGCTTTTTCTCTTTCTGCTAGTCTACACTGATTGAGTCGGAGAGGACGAATAAAAATAGTATATATATTTTTATATAAAAATAAAATAAGTTTATGAGGAGACAAACACATCCAGTATAAACGAATAACAACAAAAGGAATATCTAATAACAACAACCCCACCAAAAATTCATATTTCGCCGATAAAAATATATCTGTGGGGTCTCCACTCGATCCCCTAACAACCCCACCGATCCCAGCTCCCGCACCACGACCACCACCTGCTGCTGCTGCTGCTGCTGCTGCTGCTGCTGCTGCTGCTGCTGCTGGGGGTGGGGGAGAGGAGACAGAAGGAGACAGAGAAGGAGAAGGATATTGATAGACAGGAAAGGAGATACCTAAACTTACGGTGTCTGTGATGCATAAAACTAAAGCAATAAAACAAACCCAGCTATCTACAGATATACCCTCTAGCATCTGGCCGCTTCTGTCTCTCTCTTTATTTATTTATTTTTATTTATTTATTTATTTTTTTTTTTTTATATAGGAGTGAGAGAGAGAGAGGGGGGGGGG